GTCCTCAGGCTGTACCACCCCCTTGGTGGAGAGCTGTTCTTCTCACTGCTCATGCTGGTTCAGGACCACTGCACTATAGACATTAACTCACGCTGTGATGCAGTGGTGGTCAGCACAGTCGGAGTTCCTTTGGGATTTCTTCAATTGCTTTAGAGAAGGGAAACCTAGATGTAAGTGCACTACCATGGTTAACCAGAAATAGCTTTAGAAAATTCTGTATAGGCCAGAAGTAGCAGCATAGGCTAACCCTAGAACTTGGGAGGCAGAGGCAGACAATCTCTGAATCTGAGGCCTGCTGGGTCTACATAGCAAGTTTCTGGACAGTCAGGGCTAAATATGTGAGACTTGTCTCAAAAAAGACAACTCAAGAAGCAGAAGTGGATCTCTGTGAGTTAGAAGCCAGCCTGAACTACAGAGAGTTCCAGGACAGCCAGCCAGAGATAAACAGAAAAACTCTGTCTTGCTGGGCAGTGGTGGCGCATGCCTTTAATCCCAACACTCAGGAGGCAGAGGCAGGCAGATCTCTGTGAGATCGAGACCGGCCTGTCTACAGAATGAGTTCCAGGATAGCCAGGGCTGTTTCACAGAAGCCCTGTTTCAGAGGGGGAAAAAAAACCAAAAAAACTGTGTAGTAAAATATATCTCAATGGGAACAGTGAGTGGGCTCAGCAGGTGAAAGTACTTGGGGCTACCAAGCTCAACCACTTGACTTCAACCACCTGGGTCTCACACAATCAAAATCATAAAATATTTAATCACATAAACATATTTGTTTACAACACAATTACTTTTATAATAAATATCTATTTTCTAATTTTATCTTTTGTTTTGCTTTTTGAGAGAAGAACACAGATAGCCAAACCTGGCCTGGAACTCTGGAACTCTCTGTGTAATCAAGAATGGCCTTGAGCTTCTGATCTTCCTGTGTCTACTTCCCAAGTAGTGGGAGTACAATGTGTGTCATCAAGACTGGTTAGACTTTCCTGAGCACGCTTTCTTTCTCTCTCTGTATGTGTGTGTGTATACATGTACACGAGCTCACACATGTGAATACTACAATATTCATGTGGAGGTCAAAGGACAACGTGTAAGGGAGTCAGTTCTCGTCTCCCATCCTCCACGTGCCTTCTGGGAACTGAACTCACTTTATCAGGCTTCTATCAGCTTATCAGCAAGTGGCTTCTCCTACGGGGCTATCTGGCCTTATTTTCTAATTCTAAATAACAATACACTATAAAAAAAAATCTCAAGCTTTTAGATTTAATGGTAAGAATTTACTCACTGAACACTGAAGAAAAGAACATCATTTCTCCAGAAGCTATGGCAGCTGTAACAGGAAAAGACATAACTTTTTCCCATAGAAGATTATAATCCACATACGATATGTCCAAAAGAAAAGAAGTAAGGGTGCTGGAGAGATGGCTTAGTAGTTAGGAGCACTTAGTACTCTTCCAGAGGACTTCAGTCCAATTCTCAGCATCCACATGGGGCTAAGAGCCACCTGTAACTCCAGTTCCAAGGGATCAGACACCTTCTTCTGGCCTCCATGGCACTATACATACAAGGTGCACAGACACACACATAGGCAAAACCAATGCAGGTTAAATCAAAGTAACTAAATCTAGAAAGGGAGGAAGGAAGGGGAGATGGAGGGGAGGGAGGGGGTGTTGGAACCTGGTATGCTGACCCAGCCCCCTAACAATGGGTGGGACATGCATGAGGCATTCAGGCAGATACTTAGGCAGCTTAAAGGGCCCTGTGTTGCATGGCCATGTCAAGGCTACACTCCTTGGGGCTGCATAAGGACTCAGTATGCATGTGCAAGCTTCCCCTTTTAAGCATGTACCTCCATGTTTTCTGTCTCTCCTCCCCCTTCATCTGTCTGTCTGTCTTTCTCTCCCCCGAGCCCCCCCCCAATAAACTCTAAAGTTAATGTATCTCCTAGTTGGTGTTCCATCTCCATTTAGCGCTTGTCTTTAACTTAAACAAAATAACAAGGGGAAAAAGGAAAAAGAGGACAGAGGAGGGGAGGAGAGGGGAGGGGAGGACTCTTGGCAGGCTTTTACAGCTCTGGATATCTGGGGCCCCTCTGCTCTCACCAAGACTCAGAACAGACAGATTCATCTGCCCATAGTAATAGACCAAATCTTCCCTTCATTTCTATATAGTGCCCTTTCTCTGGCCAGCCCTCGTGTGTGTGTGTGTGTGTGTGTGTGTGTGTGTGTGTGTGTGTGTGTGTGTGTGTGTGTAACATATATATTGTATATTATATATATGTATGTGTGTGTGTGTGTGCGCGCGCATGTAAGTACAGGTGCTGTGGACCCCAAAGTGGAGCTTCTGTAGCTGGAGTGTAGGCATGTATGAGCTACCCAATATTAATACTGAAAACTAAACCCAGTCCTCTACAAACACAACACACAATCTTAACTGTTGAGCCATCTCTTCAGCCCCACTAACCCATCTTTAAAAATACAGTTCAGGCACCAGACATGGTGTCACATGTCTTTAATCTCAGAACTCAGGCAAAAACCATTTCTGGGAGTTCAAGGTCAGCTTGGTCTACACTGGGATTGGGATTTCTAGGCCAACCAGGACTACATAGTGAGACCCTGTTTCAAAAACAAACCAACCTCAGCACACAAATCCCCAACAACTGAGTGGGTGTCTGCTCTTGAGGGTACTTTGGTGTGGTCCAGTGTGGACACGAATCACATAGTCTCTCTGTCCTGCCCTCTTAATTCCTAGAAAACAAGCTCCCAGGGGGCCAGCAGTTTCCTGAGCATTATCAAATTTTAATTCATGCATGCTTAATGCAGAAACTTCTATAAAACTATTTCTGTAGCTTTGTGTACACATGGTGTGTGAGTGTGTATGTGGATGCACACGTGCCATGACACAGACGTCACAGCATGTGCCTGGAAGTCAGACTGGCATCAGTCTTCACCTTCCACTGCACTTCACACCTCAGGCCAGCTGGCCTCCAGACTACCAGGAGTCCAGAAGGAGTCTCCTGTCTTCGAGTCCCATCTGGCCATGGAGTACTAGGATCCCAGTTACATACCATCAAGTCGGTATCTAACATGGGTTCCAGGAACGCAAACTCGGGCCTTCAGATTTGCAATTCCTACGTCATCTCCCCAGTCCTCAACACAGAATCTTAAATGAAAACTGAATTAATTTAAATAGAATCTAAACAAATAATAATTCTCAGTATTCACCACATCTGTTTGGGGAGGGGTGCACATGTGTGCCACAGCACACATGTAGACTCAGAGGACAACTTCTAGGATTCTGATTTCTCCTTCCAACATGTGGCTCCCAGGGGTCAAACGCAGGTCCTCGGGCTTGGCAGCAAACATCTTTACCTTCAGAGCCATCTCTTCAGCCCACTAATAGTAACTCTTTTGTAACAGCCATGGAACTCACTTTGTAGAACAGCCTGGCCTTGAACTCACAGACATCCTCCTGCCTCTGTCTCCTAAGTGCTGGGTTTAGAGGAGTACAGGGTTTAAAGACAGGTGCATGTGCCTCCACCGCCCGGCTAATAGTAACTCTTAATCCCAGGTTGTCTCCTCAAAGTGTCTAACATGTACAGCTGTTATTAAATAATCCCCTCTTTGTATTTTGAGGTGTGAGTCCAGGGCCTCATCTATGCTAGGCCAGGATAGGAACATTGAACTAGACTCCTGGACCTTAAATAATTCTTAAAAAGCATTACATTAATACTTCACAAAGACTATACAAGTATTTCTTTGTGTGTGTGTGTGTGTGTGTGTGTGTGTAATTTATTTTTATTTAATGTGCCTTGGTGTTCTGCCTACATGTATGTCTCTGAAAGGGTGTCAGGTCTCCTGGAACTGACAGTTACAGACAGTTGTGAGCTCCCATGTGGGTGCTGGGAATTGAACCCAGGTGCTCTAGAAGAGCAGTCAGAGCTCTTAACTGCTGAGCCATCTCTCCAGTCCCTACAATTATTTCTTACAGCTACAGTCAAATACCAAAAGAAAGTTGCACAAACTGAAAGCTAAAACTAAGCTATATTGTTTCATACAAGATAAAAAAATACTTCTTTAAAAAGCTGAGGTGGAGGGCTGGAGAGATGGCTCAGAGAATAAGAGCACTGACTGCTCTTCCAGGGGTCCTGAGTTCAATGCCCAGCAACCACATGGTGGCTCACAACCATTCCTTATGAGATCTGGTGCCCTCTTCTGGTGTGCAGATATACATGGAAGTATTATGTTTTACCCTTAAAAAAAAAAAAAAAACTTAAAAAAAAAAAAAACTGAGGGGGGGGGGGATGTGGGGGGGCACACCTTTAATCCCAGCACTGGGGAGGCAGAGGCAGGCGGATTTCTAAGTTCAAGGCCAGCCTGGTCTACAAAGCCAGTTCCAGTGCAGCCAGGGCTACACAGAGAGACCATGTCACGAAAAAACAAAACAACAACAACAAAAAAAAACTCAGTCTCCTGCTCCAGACTTCAAACTTTAAGGTTTTCTTTTACTTGATTTTTCAGAAATGAATTTGAAGGGCTGGAGATGGCTTGAAGGGCTTGAGAGATGGCTCAGCAGTTAAAAGCACTGGCTGTTCTTCCAGAGGACCCAAGTTCAATTCCAAGCATTCACATGGCAACCCTCAACTGTCTGTAACTCCAGTATCAGGGGATTTGACACCTCCAGACAGGCACACATGTAAAACACCAGTGTACATTTAATAATAAATTATTAATAATTTATAATAAATTATAATATACTAATTTTAAACCCTAAAGTCCAGACATCAATGTAAAATATAGTAAAATTTGACTGAAGACAAAAATATATCAACAGATATGACTGAAAGAGAAAACCACCCTTCTCCCAAAATATAGAGTCATAATCAAGTAAGCCAAAATAATTTAAAAAGAAAGTGTTTATCAAATACCTGGTCCAAGACTCCTCAAAAAACGAGTGCACAAATAAATTCACATTATGAATTTAAAGTAATTCAATGGCCTTACCTGACTTAAGAGAAAGGTTAAGGACAGCTTATGCAGCAGAGAGATCACTCATTGCCTCTGGGATCAGGGATGGGGCACAAATCTGGTCAATTTTCTCATCTGTAAAGGGAAGATAATTGTTATGTACTTCATTGAGTTGCTTAGTAGAATTAAATTAGGTAATTTCAAGAACCCATGCCTAGCATGGTACCCAGCACATAGTAATCACTTAACTTTAACTACTATTAGAAGCAGAAAAAAAAAAAGAAGCAGTAAGTGGTAATTTATTAGTATTATCATTTTTATCTCCAAATCTTCGGTGCTAAAATGCCCTCTTCCAGATGCTAGTGGTTTCCTGAATGGTACAGTGTAATTCTCCACTAATTCAGGCCCTCCTACCTCCTTGGGGCTAGAGTTACAGAATACACTGAGAAGTTTCTCCTGAGATCCATCCACATTAAAAATCTACATCTAAAAAATGTTTTCTGCAGCCGGGAGTTAATAGCACACGCCTTTAATCCAGCACTCAGGAGGCAGAGGCAGGTGGATCTCTGGGAGTTCGAAAGGCATTGATTTCTTCTGACAGAAAACACTAACAGAGGCCAGGCTTGGTGGCGTGCTCGCCTTTAACCTAGGCGCTTAATAAGAGGCAGAGGCATCCAGGCAGTGGCGGCACATGCCTTTAATCCCAGCACTTGGGAGGCAGAGGCAGGCGGATTTCTGTGAGTTGGAGACCAGCCTGGTCTACGAGAGCTAGCTCCAGGACAACCTCCAAAGCCCACAGAAACCGTCTCGAAAAACCCCCCCCCCCCAAAAAAAAAAAGAATAGAGGCAGACGCAGGCGCATCTCTGAATTCAAGGCCAGTCTGGTCTATACAGTAAGTTCCAGGATGCATGCAAACATAACATATATACACACATACATACATACACACACACACACACACACACACACCAAACAATGGTGCACACAAACACACAGACACACACACAACTGATCTGCAACTGCAGATCAATCAACTGCAGTTAATAATTCTTTACTAGAAGCGCTTACTGAATCCCTGCCACTGACCTGACTGATGCAGAAAACCCTACACTGCAGGAAAGGAGAAAAACTAAACGCAGATTCTTTTGTTCTAAGAATCTGAAACTAAGCTCTTCTGCTATTGAATCCATCTAGTTTACTTATTCTCTGGAGCTTGTGACACCCTGGACCTCTTTCTCTCAGAAATGCCTCTCCTGGCCTCAGTCAGTAGCCTCCTCTCCCCTGCCTCCACACTCAGCGGGCACTCCGGCCAAGTCTTTTTATTTTATGTTATAGCAGCCCATGATGAAAGGGGCAGAAGTGGACCACACGCAGACTCCAGCAAACTTTGCTCTTCTGAAGGCTCCAACAAGTTTCAACAAATTACTGAATTATAAAAAAAAAAAAAAAAAAGCAGCCGACGTCACAGGGTGTGGTGGCTCACACCTGTAATCTCAACACTAGGGAGGTTGAGGCAGGAGGAATGTGGTCAATTCAAGTCTGTGAATTCCGGGTCAAGTAGAACTAGTGTGAGATAGTCTCAAAAAAGGAAAGAGCAGCTGGGTGGGAAGGTAGCTACAAGTTCAAGGCCACCCTGAGTTGCATGAGACCTTTTCTCAACAAAGAAACCAAAAGTTGCAATCCAGTCCTAGATCCAGACCTTCCAAGTTTTCAGGATTTAAAATTTCTCACAAAATTTATTATTTTTCAGGTCAGCACCTGGTTGAAATTTTTAAATATTCAAGACCGAGGTATTGTACAATCTGTTCCATCTGTAAAGTCACTAAGTTACACACAAAGTGCAAGTCACATAAGCATTTCCAGAGCAGTCATTGTCATTTCTAATGTGGATCTGACTCCAGATTTCAAACCAGTGCACAAACTGTCCATGTCCACATTTCACTTCCAGACAGTCACTACCTGGTCTACCATTGGGCTGGCCCACTCAGGATGCCTCCCACCCCACCTGCATCTCCATGAAAGCCACACTTGTGAGGTCCCTTACCCTCTAATCGACTTCTGCCACCTCCTGTTCACAGCCACCTCAGTTCCATCCCTCCTCACTGTCTTCTGGGGAGCATCCAGCCTTGCCCCCCTTTATTTACCTACCCTTTAGACACCTTCAGTCAACTTTATTTTAAGTAATGTACTTGGCCAAAGACCCTCAGGGTCACTTGTAAATTTAAAAGAAACTCCTAACCCCAGCAGACAGGGTTTCTGCTTACCATTTACACCACCACTCCCCATGGTCCAAGGCCACAAAAGAACTACAATTTGCAACATAGAACACTCTATTGTCCCTAGGCATTTATTCATACTTGCAGGTCTCACCTCCTGAAATACCTAAGAGTAGAAAATAGGTTTCCCTCCCCCAGGCTAACCCATTCAAGGCTGTAAATACCAGTTTTCTAAGTGTTCTCCACCAGACTAAAGTTCTATGATGGGGGAGGGGGAAAAGAGGGGAGGAGCAGAGTAGGGGAGGAGAGAAGGAGGAGCTACCTAGAGCAACAGCTTGGTTGCTTGGTATCGAGTTTGTCAACAATTGGAGAAGTCCTGGGTTCAATAACCAATAAACAGTGGTGCATGCCTAAAATCTCCACACTGGAGGTTCAGAAGTTCAAGGTCATACTCTGTCTTTCTTTTTAAACCAAAACAAACAAACAAACATGTTTTTTGTTTTTTTTTTTTTTTTTTTTTTTTTTTTTTTTTTTTTTTTTTTGACTTGTCAGGGTAGGAGCAGACACAAGATAGTTCATCTGCTAAAGGAATGATGGAACACTGGAGTCATTCACTCCTGTCGCCTTCTCAGGTCATTCCAGAGTAAGCTTCCCAAGACCTCAAACTACCAGGCCTTCAAAGCCACGAAGGGAATACCTTTGGTAGTGCACACCTTTAATCCCAGCACTGGGGAGGCAGGGGGGGGGAGGAAGAGGAAGGCGAGTCTTTGTGAGTTCAAGACCAAGCTGGTATAAAGTTCCAGGACAGCCTCTAAAGCCACAGAGAAACCCTGTCTCAACAAAAACAAACAAACAAAAAAAAAACAACCAAACAAAACAACCAAATTCACTTCAATAGTAGAGATTGAAAGGCCCTGAGTTCAACGGACAGTACCAAAAAACAGCAAACCAGACCCCCCCATGCTCCTCTACTGTTCCAAGGTGCAGACCCTCATCTTCCACAGCCCCACCAAGATCCAGGTAAGACCAGTGCGTATCTCACCGAGGAAGAAGGAAGAAACTGAGACAATGTTTGTTTCTTTGAGGCAAAGCCTCTCTCTGGCTCAGGCTGGCCTAAACTCACTATGCAGCTCGACTGACATCAAACTCTTGATCCTCCTCCTGCCTCAGCCTCCCAAGAACAGAGATTACAGACAAGCTGCCAGTCCCAGCTTGAAGCTAAGATTAATAAAATCAATTTTAAATTTTTAAAATATTTTCATTTCTAATCATGAGATTCTGTGTGGTCTGTGTGTGTCTGGGCCCCAGGATCTGGAGTTAGAGTCAGTGGTTAAGAGTGCCTGCTGCTCTCCTAGAGGACCCAGCATCTGCATTTGTCCACTCATCTCTCCAGCCCCGTTTTTAATTTGATGGATCTATGTGTGGATATATATATGAATGTGTGAGTGCTGATGTTCTTGTAGTCCAGAAGAGGGTATCAGACACCAGGAGCAGGCAGTTGTGAGCTACCCAATGTGGGTGCTGAGAATGAAACTTGAGTTTATGGAAGAGCAGCCAATGCACTTCTCTCCAGTTGTTGTTGTTGTTATTTAAAAAGGTCTCCCCATGGAACCCTAGAACTCACTCTGTAGACCAGGCTGGTCTCAAATGCACAGATTCACCTGCCTCTGCCTCCCTAGGATTAAAAGTGTGTGCCACTACCGCCCAGCTTAGAATTTAACTTTTATTTAAGATTAGTTTTAAGGGCTGGGCGTTAGTGGCGAACGCCTTTAATCCCAGCACTCAGGAGGCAGAGGCAGGAGGATCTCTGTGAGTTCGAGGCCAGCCTGGTCTCCAGAGCGAGTGCCAGGATAGGCTCCAAAGCTACACAGAGAAACCTTGTCTTGAAAAACCAAAAAAAAAAAAAAAAAAAAAAAATACTAGTTTTAGGGGCTGCCAAGGTGGCTTCTCAGGTAAAGGTGCTTGCTGCCAATCCTCGCAGTCTGAGTTCCATCCCTGGGACCCACTTGATGGAATCAGAAAGCTGGACTCTTACTGGACTCCTGCAAGTTGTCCTCTGACCCCACATGCATGCTGTGGTATAAACACAAACACACACAAACATAATAAAATACAGTAACATTAAAAAAGATTAATTTTACCAGGCGGCGGTGGCACACGACTTTAGTCCCAGCATTCATGAGGCAGAGGCAGGCGGATCTCTGTGAGTTCGAGGCCAGCCCGGGCTACCTAGCAAGTTCCAGGACAGGCTCCAAAACAATACAGAGAAACCCTGTCTCTAAATAAATAAATAAATAAATAAATAAATAAATAAATGATTAATTTTAATTATAAGGTGTCATATCACTAGGATTGAAGATCAATTTGACTCTAAAGCCCAAACTTTTTTCGGGGGGAGGGGATTGGAGACAGTGTTTCTCTGTGTAGCTTTGTCGTCTGTCCTGGAACTCGATCTGTAGACCAGGCTGGCCTTGAACTCACAGAGATCCTCCTGCCTCTACCTCCCGAGTGCTGGGATTGAAGGTGTTACCTTCAGCGTTCTAAGCTCATGCTTATGCTGTAGGCACACTCAAGAGAAAAACAGAAGAAAGGCACTGAAATGTTATCATCCTGAGTGGGATGGATAGGGCTATTCTCCAAATATAGTATGAGAATGTACTATTTTTAGTAAGGAAAAAAAGCAAACAAACAAGATGTTATTTAGATGGTGTCACTAAAAAACACAGAGTGGGCTAGAAGAAACATCTAATCCTTATAGCAAGGAATTTGTTTTCCCTGTCCTGTGAAAGAAACCAAAGATTAAGAAGAAATGGGATCAGAGCAGGGCACAACCCAAAGCCGGCCCGACCATGTCTAACTAGATGATGGCATGATACAGAGATCTCAGCAAAAAAAAGTTGTAGGTTTTCCTGACAGGGATGGGGGGAGGGGAGCAGTCAGTAGGGTCATACTATGTAGCCAGGCCGGCCTTGAAACTGAGATCCTTTGGTCCTGGAATACAGGCATCCACTATCATCCCTGGCTAAGAATTAGTTTTAGGAGTAAATTACAGCTGTCATGGTAGCCCACATCCCTAAGGCCAGCACCTACATGCAGGAAGATCACTGAGTAAATGGCCAGCCTAATCTAAGCAATGAGTCCCAGGCTGTGAGACCCTGGCTCCAAAATAAATATAAATAAACAAGGTAAATCACATTGTGTGAAAGTTAGAACCAAGTGATCTTCTGCCTTAAATCAGGTTAGGAAATGCAGGAGCACTAACATTTTAACTTAAGTTTCTCACAAATCTCAAAATGGGCAGGAGCATTGTCAAAATTTTACCCAGCCTCTGGGAGAGGCTCACAGCCAATGAAGTGAGAACATAGCTGTCTTCACCCTACAGTACATCCAGTGCAGCCCTGAGTCAGTCTCACCTACGGCTTCACAAGGGACCAGGTGTGGAAAGAAGCTGTCTTCAGACACAACAGCCAACCTTTCCAGAAACAAAACCCTGTTCCGTACTGAGATTGCTGAGAACTAACCTAGAAGATCTTTGCGAAGGAAAAGACAGTGACTGGTTGAACTAACACATTTAAGTCCTCAGACTGCAGACTGTCTAAATTAAAATTTTCAGTCCTCTAAAATTAGTAGCAACGGGAGCCAGGCTGAGGCCTCTGAAGTTAAAAGCACCAGGTGCTCTGTTGGAGGACCCAGGGCTCATCCCCAATACCCAGTGTAATGGCACATAACCATCTGAAACTCCAGTTCCAAGGGAGTTTCAGACACCCTCTTCTGGCCTCCCCAGGCACAACACCCACACAGTGCACAGAAACACCTGCAGGCAAAACACCTATACACAAAAAAATAAAATAAAATTTAAAATATAGCAGCAATATGATTTTCTGGAAAGAAAAAACACAATGGAGATGAAATCTTTCAGAGAAAAGAAAAGTTGATTATTTCAGACTTACAAATTAAACATCTACTTTTTAAGCCAAACAACTCATAGTGAAAAAGACAGTCCCTTTCAATTTAAAACAATTCAGTATGTTCCCAGAAAGTCTCTTATTAGCTTGAAATAAAATTAACTTTTAAAACATCAAATTTACCGTTTCCTCAGGAATAAAATAGCTCATAAGTGGCTTACAAAAGGGAATTAAAGTGTTTGGGCCAGGATGAGAGAAAAAACATAAACTTTCAGTATTTGTGCATGTACAGTTTTTAAAACTAAGAATATTAAGCTAATGATAAGCATTAAATACATGAATCTCCGAGTTAGAGGCCAACCCGGTCTACAGAGTGAGTTCCAGGACAGCCAGGGCTACATAGAGAAACCCTGTCTCGAAAACACAAAAAACAAAACCAAACAAAACAACATATTACAAAATAGCAAGAATTCTTTCAACTTTTAAAATATTCCAGAATGAGTTTTCTTCTATACAGTTTTCTCTAAAAATAAGGACCATAACAGGAATAATGATTTTGCTCCACACATACATGAAACGCCCTAATCAATAAGCACTTTCAATTAACCAATAATGATAAAAGAACCATTACATGTAATTTGCATTTTGATACAAAATCCACACCATCTTCATGTATCAAGACTTTCTTAGGCACAAGTCTAAATGGCTGGGCAACTAACACTGTGAGAAAACAGTTCTGTTTTAGCCAGACAAAAGCAAAGGATCCTGTTAAGAATCATGGAAGGAGCCTGACTGAAGTCGGTGCTGACCAAGTCATGGATTACCCCGAGCCTTTGCAATTGACAGACAGTTCTTCACTACCACTGCTCTGTGGGCTGAGTGATCAGAACAGAACTGCCTCTGCCAGCAACCTCAACCTGCAACCAAGCAGAAAACACACACACACACACACACACACACACACACACACACACTCTGCCCCAAACTCTGAGTGAAAAACAAAAACAAAAAAACAGAACTAATAAAAGAGGTCAAATTGAACTCTATACACATGCCCACGATGGGGCTGGGGGTGGCAGGGCCACGGACATTGCAATTTCAACACTAAACAACAACCAGGAGGTGGTCAGTTGTTGTCCAGCCTATCCTTGAAAAGAAGGAAATCTAGACTTGGAAGTTTAAGTCTAATACGTGAAAGAAAAAGAAGAGAAAAAAGTTTCAGAGTTATTGGCACCAAAACCGAGTTCGTTTATAAGGTAGGCCAAAGCCAAAGTCTATGTTCAGTTTCACCGGGCTCCTCCACAGACCCCTGAGCTGTAGCAATCACAACTTTAACTGTCCTTAAGAACCCCCATTTTTCTAATTCTAGACAGACATCTAAGGACACCACACAAAGCTAAACAGTTACCATCAGAACAAACCAAACATTGCTCCTTAAACTGCAGGTAGACCTTACTTCAAAAGCCGCCCTGCTCTCCAGTTCCTTCCTCCCAATTTTGAATTCTCTGCAACGTCTGTCAGCCGCGGTCCCCGTCCCCCCCACCACCCCATGGCTTCAGTTTCTGAGTTAGTTTTTAAAGACAG